CTTTGGGCTTCATATACAGAGCCTGGCATGGCTCTGAAATCTGTGAGTTGTACTATTTACCCACATCCACTTATTCTGATCAATACAGTACACACTGTGTTATTGTTGTTTTCTAGGTTGTGTAAAGATTACCCTGCCAACCATCCATCCATATACATAAGTATCTGTTTATCTTATACTTATACTTTGTGCTTGAAGGGTTCACTTACACTTTGTGTTTTTACACTCTGTTGCTGGTGTTGTTATCTTTTTATCTGTACTAGGGTGTTAGGGGTTACATCTATTCTACCCTTCTATGCATTAATTGTGAATTGTTTATCTTCTGAAGCGCCCTACTTGTATTTGTATTTCTGTGATTACATAGGGTAATCCAGCAAATTTCTTACCATGAATTAAAGTGGCTTCGGCTCCAGTGTCCACAAGGGCAATGACCCTTTCAACATTTTTATTTTTCCAGTGAATTTCTACTTTTACATGGGGTCTATGGTCTTTTACTGAAAAGTCAATCATTGGAGCCTGCCTCACTAGTCAATTCCTATCGTCTAGGTCTGTAGAATCCAGGTCTCCCAGGTCGGGCAATTCCCTGTGTGCATACTCGTCAAGTGTTTTAAGTATTACCCAACCTCGTCTCTGCCACTTATCTTTTGGAATCTTTTTTTTTAGACAAGCAAGAAGGATAGTAGGCATGTCAATTTCACCCTTTTCACATTCATAATCACATTTACCAGCTGAATGAACCCATTCACTGGCAATCAAAGCATATGGCTCATTTTCCCATCTGGGAATGATGGTGTCATCACCCTGTTTCTTATTCTTTTTAAACATTGTGCAAAGTTCCTATGGTTTCTTAAGAAAAGCTTGCACTCCTTGGGGATGTGTGTTCTATGTGTTTATTTAATTTCACTTGAATATGTACTAATCCAGACATCTAGTGTCTGGCTTATTGTCTTATTCCTCACTCAAGCCTGCCCAAATGACTAATTTGGCTGCAGGTTTGCGCTCCCCAACCACACTGGCTTTCTACACACTCTGTGAAGTGTATAGGGGCGTCTATGATCGAGCCAACAGTCTCGCATTTTCAGGAACAGTCGTTTCATTCACAGATACTTTCCGAGGTCAGGGGATACAGAAAGTGACACAACGATAAGGGAAAGCCAGAAGTCAGGGATACCAAAATACAGGGAAGTCAAAAACTAAGCCAAGGTCAAAAAACAGAATATAACCATTCAGGAACACAGTCTCGGACAACCACTACGAAAACCACAACAGGGCAAAGAGGAAAGGTAATTATAAGTTTAAATACATGTTTTACCTTTCGGATTGGCTGAAATCTATCTTTAACCCCAGAACGGGTGCGCGCATATCCCGCGTGACGTCTCGTGCACGCCAATGTCGTCAACCACGTGGGCGGACGTGGGGGTACAATTATCCGTGGATCAACATGCTGCAAGTGTCAGTCATACAGACGCATGGCCGCTGGGTGCAAATACCGCAAGGTGAGGACGAATATGTTACAGATATTAATTGGGAATTCTCACCCTTTGTCATAAATCTGATATTGCTCTGTACACATGCTCAGTGTAAAGTCTCAATTGTAATCTTATCACTTTAATGCTTTCACACAGTTGTATTCTATGTGTACAAACAACAATAAAATGAAATTTGAAAAAAGAAAACAGAAACAAAATGCCTGAATATTATGTAAATACAAGAGGCTCAAGAAACGTATAAGTGAAGGTTAGCAGTTATATGGATGGTTATTAGAAGGAGAAGTGGGGTCAAAAGGTGTCACGGCACGTCCGGGTACTCGCCTGCCCCTGGAGAGTGGAGTGGAAAATGGAACAAAATAAAAGCAGTGTATTGAATGAAAGCTGGAAAGAGGGGTGATTGCATTCCTAATTTGGTTTACGTTGTTAGTAAAATGGCATAAGAAATATCATAAGCAGTGAGGTTAGTTAATGGTGGGGTTGCAGCAGAGCAAAGAAGGGAGTCAAACATATGAAAAAGGTGTTTGAGAGCCTAATAGGAGGTGGAGATGAGAATGTTAAAATATTCTTGCTTGGCAAGGGAGAGGGTGTAGTAGATAAAAATGAATTTGTAATATAGGAAGTTGAATGTGCAGTACAGGAACATTGATGGAGATAGTGAGTGAGCTTGCTGTGCCAAGGTTGAAGGCATGGCTGGATCTTAGAGGAGCTTTAATAGGATCAGCAATGCCAAAAGTAATATGCAGGGCAGAACTGTAGTATGAGGTACAGGAGAGAGTTAAAAGTGTAACCTGAAGACAGAAAGAGATGCAGACCAATTGAGCTCAGATTTCAATAGCCCAAGATGAGCTAGATTTAATATGTTGAGTGAGGGGCACAATCACAGTACAGGTGAGAAGATGGTGGTCAGACAGCAGTGTTGAAAATGTTAGAAACAGAACATAAGTTAGAAAAGACAAGGTAGGGTATTGCCGGCAATGTGTGGGTGGGAGTTACCATATTTTTCATGTATGAGACAATGTTTTTTTTCTACATTAGTGTAAATTTGGGTGTCGACTTAGACACAGAATGTCCCTGCATGGGTTGAAAAAACTAACTGATGCGTAGGTCCTAAGCCAAGATGGGCCTTCCAGGTTAAAGTGTGCCACGGCTCACACACATACCTGGTCTCCCTCCTGCTGACTCACACACCCGGTCTCCCTCTGGCCGACTCACTCACCTGCCCTCCGAGCCCCATAGTGAGAGCCAAGCCAAGGAGGCAAATCCTCAGAGGTTATAGAGCTCTCTGCCTCTCCGACCATCTCTTGGCTTTCCCCGAGGTCCTCTATCAGCACTGGGGTTAGCAAAGGTGACAAAGCAAAGTTGCCCTCCATCTCTCCCTCTCAAGTTGCCCTGCACCTCTTCCTGGTCTGTATTACAGCTCTGCCCTCCATCCCTCTCCCTCTCTCCCCTGGTCTGTGTTACATCTCTGTCCTCCATCTCTCTCTCCCCAGGTCCCTCCCCTGTGTGCTGCGTGTAGGGGGATCACTGTATATGTATATGTTTAAAATATGTATTTCTTAATTGTGGGTTTAAAAGATAGTGTTCGTCTTATACATTGGGGCGTCTTATATATGGAAAAATACGGTAGTCCATTTAGTAAGGGCAAAGAGGGAGGTGATAGATAGAAATCAAGATGCTATTGAATTGTTTGGTTGGTTAATAGGGATATTGAAGTCACCAAAGATAAGAGAAGGAATATCTGGAAAGAAAGTAAAGAAGCCAAGCAGAAAAAAAAAATCAAGGAAGAGTAGAAGAGAGCCATAGGGATTGTAGATAATGGCAACATGAGCTGAGAGAATATTGAAGAGACAGGTGGGAAGAAAAGAGAAGCACAAGAAGCTAACTTCGGAAGGAATTACAGGATTTGTAGTTCATCAAAATCTGGAGAGTTTAAGATGCTTGTGGCTTTTAGTCTGATAGCCGCAAGAAAGGTGCTCTTGGACAAATATAAACATTGTCAATTCTCAGAAAGAGCAAGATTTTACACTCTGCAAGTAAAGGACCAACATCTATGCTATATTTTAAGTTGTGGCTTTGGTGCTTAGAATATCCCTTTAAATAAGCCACAATTGCAATAGAATTGTATCACCAAACAAACACACAACAAATGTTATCTGTAAAAATAGGTCAGAGAGGCAAATAGAAGACGTAAAGACAACTATCCTTAGATACTTTAAAATACTTTTCAATATAGTAAATATTACTTAACTTTACTGTAGGAAAGGAAAATATACTTAGATATCAATTGTGCAAACTAGCTAGTTGATATATGGTGGCACTATTATTTTTCCAATTGCCTAAGGATTGAAAAACATTTAGAAATCCATTTAAATGATCTAGTCACATATGAAGATTATTTATATTTTGGAACTAAACAGGTTTAAAACAAACAATGTATTAAAGAAACATCTTGCACTCGCTTATTTTTATTTGTTTTTTTATATTTATTTTTGGTTTTCATTTCCTAAATTGATTTACTATATATAAAATAATTGGGATATTTTATGGACAAATATAAACATTGTCAATTCTCAGAAAGAGCAAGATTTTACACTCTGCAACTAAAGGACCAACATCTATGCTATATTTTAAGTTGTGGCTTTGGTGCTTAGAATATCCCTTTAAATAAGCCACAATTGCAATAGAATTGTATCACCAAACAAACACACAACAAATGTTATCTGTAAAAAAGATTAACGTAATGTAAAGGTTAACCACCTGACTGGTCAGAGAGGCAAATAGAAGACGTAAAGACAACTATCCTTAGATACTTTAAAATACTTTTCAATATAGTAAATATTACTTAACTTTACTGTAGGAAAGGAAAATATACTTAGATATCAATTGTGCAAACTAGCTAGTTGATATATGGTGGCACTATTAGTTTTCCAATTGTTTAAGGATTGAAAAACATTTAGAAATCCATTTAAATGATCGAGTCACATATGAAGATTATTTATATTTTGGAACTAAACAGGTTTAAAACAAACAATGTATTAAAGAAACATCTTGCACTCGCTTATTTTTATTTGTTTTTTTATATTTATTTTTGGTTTTCATTTCCTAAATTGATTTACTATATATAAAATAATTGGGATATTTTATTGAGCGAGAACAGGTAAGAGCTGAAAAAAAAAAACGTCAGCTACCTGTGCTAAAATAATAAGCAGTATTTACCTAAGATAAATTCATTTCTATAGCTTTTTTACATGGGTTTATATGCTCAACTGTGAACTGAGGTGAACTGAAAACTAAATTTGTAAATATATGCCCAAATTGCTGAATAGCAGAAATTATCAAACTTCCCTTTATTCCTAAATGTGTAATAATTTTACAACTTAGCACAACATTTCACTGTTTTTGAAAGTCCCTTACAATCCATGTGTTTAACCCTTAGCATAGTGTCTCATGTGCACAGACTTGCAAAATATTTTAAGATAAAGGGCCAACTTAAAGAGATTCTTTATTTTTGCTGCGTATGAGGTTACATTCAAGCACGACATGCCACAAACAGTAGCAAGCACTTCAATAACATATTATCATGGTATTTAATCAACTTGCACATTTTTAAGTTATTGTAGACAAAGGTATCAGGCTAGTCAAACATGTCTAACTGTTAGGCAGAAATTTGAGATTTAAAGGACTAGCTATACATGTGGGGTAAAGATAAACATGAAACTTTGGAAAGCAAGTTATAGGCTAATTGTAGAGTAAACATGTAGTATTACTGTATAACCTGCTATATAATGACTGAAAAGAATAGACCACTGGTAATAAGACTGGACATTATGTTGCTGCATCACAGTAAGAAAATCTAATATGTTCAACAAAAATACTATTAACAAAACTGGTTGCAAAACATGAAAAGAAAAACAAGGTGCAGGTGACTACATATTGCAGGCGATAGTCCTGAAGCTAGGATCATCCAATCCCTCTGAGTGGTAAGAGAGAGGTGTTGCTGAGAAAGTCACCATGCATCTCTGCAGATTTATTCCTCCGTTGTGCATCTCTCCAGCTCCAGACCTACACAAGGGCCGACCTTGTCCCTCCCAGGACTCAAAGGCTCTCCGTGACGAATTACTGCTCCCACGGGACACCATAAGACACCAGGATTAGGTCATCGCTTATTGCTGCTGTGACTACCTATCTAGGGGCGCTGCAGGGATTGAGATGCCATATCATTGGCGCCTGGGCGCCAGCTGCTTGCGTCTCCTCCTCTGTGATGCCGCGTGGGGGATGCGCAAGAGAAACCCGGTTCTGCTGCGTCTAAAGGATCCGGGATACCACAACTTGGTTGACGAGAGTAGCAGTAAGCAGGGCCGGCCCCTCATGCTGCAGCCGCCTGAGCACTCTATGGAGATCTCTAAGGGACGGGAGGGGAGAGCAGTAAGGGACAAGAGGGGAGAGAGGCTGAGGAAGGGGGGAAAGAGAAGCACAAAGTGGCTGGTAGGACTCAGCCCCTATCCTACCCCTCAAACTCTCTCTTTCACACTACACACACAATGCCTCTCTATACATACACAGAAACACACAATGCATCCCTACAAAAACACAGAAACACACAATCGTTCCCTTACACACAAAGAAACATACAATGCATCCATTACACACAGACAATGCATCCCTTGCACACATACACAGAAACACACAATGCATCCCTTACACACACACACACACACACACACACACACAAACACACACTGCTTCTCTTACACACACACAGAAACACAATGCATCTCTTACACACACACTCAATGCACCCCTTACAGACACATAAACTGCATCCCTTACATACACAGAAACACACCTTGCATCCCTTACACATACAAACACAGATTCACACAATGCATCCCTTAAACACAACCACAAACACACAATACATCCCTTACACACAATCACACACTACTTCCTATCCCTTATACAAAAACACACTGCATCCACTACACACCCACACACACTGCATCACCTAGAGAAACTGGTATCCCTATACACTACATTCCATAAGCACACACTTTAGATTCTCTACACTAACACATAACACATTCACTACACACTCCACTCCCTATGAGCGAACTCATGGATGGAACATGTAGTTGGACTTATTGGTGGGCCTTATGGACATACTCACCGTCAGGCCCTGGGGGACCAGACCTTGAGCTGTGCAAGGGGTCCAAAAAAATGGAGCTGTGTCACGTTCCCCCAGAACATTGACTTTTGTGACCACAGTTACAAACAGCCGCCAGAGAGCCTGTTCTACACCAGACCACTGGAGCCAGACTGCAGCCAGAGCCCATCATCATTCTCATTTGGTAGTAAGTAGGCAATTTAGTATATTATTCGTGGCACTAATCTCTAATTTACCTCACAATGAAGGGACATTATAGTCCCCAGAACCACTGCAGCTTACTGTAGTGGTGCTGGTGTCTATAGCCTGTCTCTGCAGGCTTTTTAATGTAAACACACACTATGTGCAGCACTGGCTTTAGTTCATATGGCAGATCGTATGGGTGGAGCATTGTGATGTCAGATGGGGGAGCACATTTTTCTTTTGCCTAGGGCGGCAAAAATCCTTGCACCGAACCTGGCGGTAAGCCCCTGATTGTTGAGGTTCACCTATAATTGTGCGCATAGATGGTTGAATGCCTGAAAAAGCGGGTCCACAAGGGTGGGTGACTGTGGGTAGGCATATGTCACAGTAGGACCTGGAGGTACAGTCATGTTAGGTAGTAGGCTGCAGCCCTCCAAAACTTTAGAGTTCTGATGTCCTGTAGAGTAGGTCATCATGTCCTTCTCTATGAGAAGCAATACTTTCGAGGAGATCATGGGTGATGTCAGCTTTGATGTTGACTCTCTGGATGAGGAGAAAGAAGCTTAGGTGGAGGAGTCCTGCCACTAGAAACAAGGTGAGTAATCATTATTTAAAGGGGTAGGCAGAAGGGGGGTGGGCAAAGGGAAGCAATAGTGCCGGAATAACAATTGCTAACAAAAGATTTGTTTATTTTGTGATCATGCCACCAGTACTAGGGTTTTGAAAGATTTTTAGGGTACTAGGTTACTAAAGTGAAAATTGGCAGTAATTCAAAGTGAATGACAAAATAGCCATATTGGAAAATTTCAGTCAGCTGAATCCACCAGCAGTGCCCAGTCTAAGCTTCCTCATTGAAGCTGTGAACCATCGCCTGAAATCTAGGGGCAGAGTGAACACCTGCTATGTTCAGAACTGAATTTTTCATAAATGGTTTAACTCCTTAAGCTAGGATTCTCACCAGACATCTTAAAGGAATTCTATGGTGCCAGGAAAACAAAGCTGTTTTCCTGGCACTATAGAATCCCACAGTGCTCCCTTCCTATTCGCCCACCCTCCCACGGTGCTGAAAACCCCTTCAGTCAATTACCTGAATCCAGCGCCGATGCCCTTTGGTGCTGGGTCAGGCTCCGCCCATGCTCCTCCCCTGCCAATGGGGAAGACCTTATGCACATGCACGGCAATAACCGCGTTCGCATTAGGATTTCCTCCATAGGAAAGCAATATTAAATGCTCTCCTATGGGGAAAAATCTGACTACAGGAAGTCCTCATACAGATCGCCCAACATCAGATAACCACAGGTCCGTTTTAATTCAGGAAGTACCTCTAAGAGATGGAGTTAACCCTCAGAGGTAATTACTGCAGTTTCTAAGAAACTGCAATAATTACCACTGTAGCGTTAAGGGACATGGGACATTGCACCCAGACCACTTCAATGAGCTAAAGTGGTCTGGGTGCCTACAGTGTCCCATTAACAATGTCATAAAACTGTAACATGTATGATTTCCCTCGATTTTGTGGATATATAGTACGTTGTAACTGGGTTTGACAAAGAACCAACATGTTACCAGGTCATATCCTGGTGGCTGTATTAAAGGCCCATATGAAACTTTAAAAAGACTTTAAATATTTATTTTGCACCTGTCTGAGGGTGATTAGGGTGGTGATCCCTCAGAGATGACCAGCTGTTGTGTCACTACACTTCTTTTGAAAACAATCCGCGACAAGTTAGGAATATCCTTTTCTAGAAATACTTATTTTTTTTTTTACAGAGTTATTTACTAAAGTTGAAGGCAGAGTTCATAGTGAATTTAAAAAGCTTTATAGAGCAGTTTTACTTCCCAGCTATTTTTGCTTAAGTGAAGAGCCTTTTAAGAGCTCTCAATGTCTCCTGTCTTGATTACTGTAACCCTCTGCTTATTAGCCTACAAAAAATTCAGATTACTCCTCTTCAGCCATGAAGGAACATCTCTGCCTGATCCATCTACCTAACAACCCAAAACATTCAGTACTCACCCCCTGTCAATTTCTAAGCTGGCTTCCTGTTTAATTTGGGATTCAAAGTTCTCATGCTTACTTACATAGCTCTTGATATATCTTGCTCATTAGCAGATATGTTCCAGTCGGCTTCTCATCTCCGATAATGACCTGTTACTGTCCCATTCTCATACTTGTACTGATACATTTACAGGACATCTCTAGGACTGCTCCTTCGTTATGCAATGTTGTCCAATGCCACATTTAACTCTCCCCATCTGCAGTCCTTTAAAAAAATAAAAATCCTTAAATGCACACTTACCTTGAGCCCCCCATTTATGGTTCCCCAAAACAGCCCTCTAACCCATTCAGGTATATTCATAGCATTTGATTCCATCTGTGTATTTGTTCCTCATTATTTTATATTATAAGCGTGTTCAGGTTTGGTTCATTAATAATTTTTTTAAAAGAGAAGATCAAAATATTGGATTCAGTATTTGAGTGATAGGCTCAAAGGCCAGGTGTTTACTTACAGGATGAGAGACTTCTTTACTCCTTTTAGGGGCAGTGGCATTGAATTGGTATTGCTATGCTGAAGGATTCAGGGAGTAGCATTATTTTTCTTTAAATGAGTTTCCTGTAAACAAATGATATGCACATGCATTGATTTAGGTTCTTTCATCAGAGAATACCTTTTAAATGGGGCGTTCACACCCCTGACATTATGGAAATATATCTTCATAAAAAAACTATGTATGGTAATGCTTCATATTAGTTTCATCATAACATTTGTTTGTTGTATCCTACATTCTCTACACGTTATTCAGTTTCTCTGTGTTTGTGTCACGTATTCATCCGCATATAAAAATGTGATTAATGGCATTTACTGTCCTGACAGGAAAAGTTGTGCTGAGCAGCAATCAATCCACAGGAGGGTTTGTGCTGAGCAGCAATCATGCAAATAGGAACCTGGTAACTGCCTTTGGGGTCAAAGGCCGGTTACAACCAATCAGATCCACAGGCTTTAGAGTTCTGATGTCTGATATTTAGGCCCAGTTCTCCTCTTGCTCAGTGACCTGTCGTGGTTTCCCTTGTGGTTGTCCGAGAGCGCATTATTGATTCTGGTTATTCTGTTATTTTGGCTTTGATTTTGACTTCCCTGTTTTCTGGCATCCCTGATTCCTGGCTTTTCCTTATCGTTGTGTCTCTTTCTGTGTCCCTAACGTTTTTTGGACTCTGGACCAGAACACGGACATATCACTGTATGTTCGGGTTGGAGTTCGGTGTTCGGCGATTTAATGGCGTGTTTTGAAAGGCTGCAGGGCAGTCAATATACAAGCGTATCACAGCTTAGAAGCCATCACAGCCATGCCTACTAATGGCATGGCTGTGATTGGCCAGTGCAGCATGTGACCCAGCCTCTATATATAAGCTGGAGTCACGTAGCACCGCACCTCACATGAGCTTTTATTAGTGTAGGGAGAGGATGCTACCGCTTTCAGATTAGGAAAGAATTCTGCAAACTAGTACATTAGTGGGGTGCACTTCATATCTGAGAGTCAAATAGAACCGTCAAATACTGCTGTCACATTGCAGTTTTAAAACTTAAAATTTTTTGGGTGCTAAAAAGTACATTAGTGGGATGCACTTCATATCTGAGAGTTAAATAGAAGCGTCAAATACTGCGGTTACAGCGCAATTGTAAAAATTCTAATTGTTTTGGTGCTAAACTGCTAAATAGTAAATTTGGGGCGTACTCTTCATATCTGAGAGTCAAATAGAAGCGTCAAATACTGCAATTACAGCACAGTTGTAAACATTCTTATTTTCTGGGTGCTAATCTGCTAAATAGTGAATTTGGGCCCTACACTTCATATCTGAGAGTCAAATAGAAGCGTCAAATAGTGTGGTTCCAGCGCAATTGTAAACATTCTTATTTTCTGGGTGCTAATCTTCTAAATAGTAAATTTGGGGTGTGCTCTTCATATCTGAAAGTCAAATAGAAGTGTCAAATACTGCGGTTACAGCGCAGTTGTAAAAATTCTAATTGTTTTGGTGCTAAACTGCTAAATAGTAAATTTGGGGCGTGCTCTTCATATCTGAGAATCAAATAGAAGCGTCAAATACTGTGTTTACAGCGCACTTTGAAAAATTCCCATTTTTTTGCTCCTAAGAAGTACATTTGGGACGTGCTCTTCATATCTGAGAGAAAAATAGAAGCGTCAAATACTGCGGTTACAGCGCAGTTGTAAAAATTTGAATTGCTTTGGTGGTAAACTGCTAAATAGTAAATTTGGGGCGTGCTCTTCATATCTGAGAGTCAAATAGAAACGTCAAATACTGTGGTTACAGCGCAGTTATAAAAACTTCTAATTGTTTTGGTGCTAAACTGCTAAATAGTAAATTTGGGGTGTGCTCTTCATATCGAAGAGTCAAACAGAAGCGTCAAATACTGCGGTCACAGCGCAATTGTAAACATTCTTATTTTCTGGGTGCTAATCTGCTAAATAGTGATGTCCTGAACGGCTCGCCATGAATGGTTCGCCACGGACTCATCATTGAGTAAACTTTGACCCTGTACCTCACAGTCAGCAGACACATTCCAGCCAATCAGCAGCAGACCCTCTCAGACCCTCCCACCTCCTGGACAGCATCCATTTTGAAGCTGCATTCTTAGTGAGCTGTCCAGGAGGTGGGAGGGTCTGGGAAGGAGGGTCTGCTGCTGATTGGCTGGAATGTGTCTGCTGACTGTGAGGTACAAGGTCAAAGTTTACCCAATGATGAGTCCGTGGCGAACCGTTCGTGGCGAACCGTTCGCAAACCATTCGGCGAACCGTTCAGCGAACCGTTCGGGACATCACTACTGCTAAATAGTAAATTTGGGGCCTGCACTTCCTATCTGAGAGTCAAATAGAAGCGTCAAATACTGCGGTTACAGTGCAGTTGTAAAAATTCTAATTGTTTTGGTGCTAATCTGCTAAATAGTAAATTTGGGGCGTACTCTTCATATCTGAGAGTCAAATAGAAGCGTCAAATACTGCAGTTACAGCGCAGTTGTAAAAATTCTAATTGTTTTGGTGCTAAACTGCTAAATAGTAAATTTGGGGCGTGCTCTTCATATCTGAGAGTCAAATAGAAGCGTCAAATACTGCGGTTACAGCGCAATTGTAAAAATTCGAATTGTTTTGGTGCTAAACTGCTAAATAGTAAATTTGGGGCGTGCTCTTCATATCTGAGAGTCAAATAGAAGCGTCAAATACTGTGGTTACAGCACAATAGTAAACATTCTTATTTTCTGGGTGCTAATCTGCTATATAGTAAATTTGTGCCCTGCACTTCATATCTGAGAGTCAAATAGAAGCGTCAAATACTGTGTTTACAGCGCACTTTGACAAATTCCCATTTTTTTGCTCCTAAGAAGTACATTTGGGGCGTGCTCTTCATATCTGAGACACAAATAGAAGCGTCAAATACTGCGGTTACAGCGCAGTTGTAAAAATTCTAATTGTTTTGGTGCTAAACTGCTAAATAGTAAATTTGGGCCCTGCACTTCATATCTGAGAGTCAAATAGAACTGTCAAATATTGCTGTGACATAGCAGTTTTAAACATTCAAATTTTTTGGCTGCTAAATAGTAAATGCGGCCTGCGGTGCACTTCATATCTGAGAGTCAAATAGAACCGTCAAATATTGTGCTTACATTGCAGTTGTAAAAATTCAAATTCTTTAGGTGCTAAAAAGTAAATTTGTTGCCTGCACTTCATATCTGTGCAGAGAGGGGGTGGAAGATGATGTGGAGGATGATGAGGTCCTAGACCCCACATGGAATCAAGGTCATGCGAGTGAAGTGTGCAGTTTGGAGGAAGAGGCGCTGGTCGCACAGAGGCACCAGTACAGAATAAGAGGGAGCAGGGTGCAAAAGCGGAGCGTCCGTCCCCTAGCGCTCGTTGGCGTGTATTATCTTTAGAATTCCCACAGTTATCCAAGTAACAGATTGAGTGATAAAAGGAAGCATAACAGATTTAATGAGCCATTCGCAGTTTCGCAGTCCGGTGACCGGGACCCAGACACTGTCTGGGAGGCAGTTGGACAACCTGGACCTAGTATGCCTGATGTTGAAGTTAGGAGTCACAGTGTGGAATGGATTAGCAGGGTCTGGTGGGTCTGGTGCAGGGTAACTGGTGTTGAGCACCAGCGTTTGTGCAGCCACATACCAGGACCCTGATGCAGCTTCAGTAAAAAGAGTACTGGATACCAGAAGCCATCACCAGACTGATCCGCAACTTGGAACAGGATGTGACATTCACTTTAGCGGCTGTGTGCGCTTTTGGCGTTCTCACCCTGCTGCTGCTCGTCTGTCTGCGCTGCAGCATAATTTTGGCCTTCCCGTTCACCGCCTCATATGCGACGTGCCCACAAGGTGGAACTCCACTGTGCACATGCTGGAGAGACTGTGCGAGCAGCAGCAGGCGATAGTGGAGTTTCAGCTGCAGCATGCATGGGTCATTCGCTCTGCGGAACAGAACCACTTCACCACCAATAAGTGGGCCTCCATGTGAGACCTGTGTGCCATGTTGCGCTGTTTTGAGTACTCCACCAACATGGCCAGTGCCGATGACGCCATTCTCAGCCTTACTATCCCGCTTCTATATCTCCTTGAAAAAACGCTTTGGGCGATGATGGAAGAGGATGTGGCACAGGAGGAAGAGGAGGAGGAAGAGGGGGTCATTTCCACGGTTATCAGTATAGGCCAGGTACACAATTGTCCAGCACCTCCACACTGTCCCATGGAAGCGTTCAGCTGTCCATCTCCCAAACACTGGAAAGAAAGAGGAAGTGTCCCCCTAGCAACCTGTGATCCCTGCCTCTGAATGCCAGCATTTCAAAATTTGTGGCCTTTGAAATACTGTCATTTCGTCTGGTGGAGACGGACAGTTTTAGAAACCTGATGGCGTTATTGGACTGCAGGAAATGCACCGCAGGCCGCAAATGTTTCTTTTTTTTTATATGTCCCAATATTTTGGGGGCTACCCCAATTAACCCCCCCCCCAAAAAAACCCCAAACAAATAAAAAACAGTGTTGGCTACCTCCTCCACCCCCACTTCCACCTACAACGCCACGGTCAATGCCTCCTCAACCTATGGGTCACTTAGTATAAACTATGTACACAATAGCAGAGGCTTGTGAAGGGCTTTTCTCCATGCATCAGCAGTTGAGCTCAGTTTGAACAATGAAAGAGAATACCCTGTACTCCAGCCTTCTCTCAAATGGATAATTCTGGTTCCTGACAGCCATGGCTTAGATTTTGATTTATGTTCTTCCAAAGCTAAAATCAAATATTCCATCTAGTGCTATTTTATGGCTCAGCTGTATTTTTATGTATTTTATGTTTTTTAAGTGATTTCCCTATCCACATTTGTTTGCAGGGCACTTGTCCTACTCTTACCCCCATTTTACTTCCTTTTGCAGCCCTCTAGCCCTTTCCAGGACTTTTTTAGAGGCATTTTTGTGCCCAAAAGTTCGGGCCCCCATTGACTTGAATGGAGTTCGGGTTCAGGGTCAAGTTCGATCCCAAACCCGGACTTTTTTCAAAAATTCGACCTGAACATCCAGGTGTCCGCTCAACTCTATGCAGCATGAAAAAGATTTGAAAACAGCAATTGCCTACTGGATGTACAATCGAATGTAAAGTGAGTGACATGATCGCCTAAAGTTAAAAGATTACTCCAAACCCTTATGTAACCTAAAAGATTTTTTTCATTGAGGGCATTACTCTTCGGTCTTCCCCACTGCATAAAACCTGTAAAAATATTTTTACTTACTGGACACCTAGAGCCGGGGAAGCTGTCTTGATGTCACAGGGGTTCTTGCGCGATTGATGATCTCAGCGTAAAAGGCAGGGATGGCTGGAGAAAGCACCATGGCAAGGGAGAAAAGGTAAGTAAATCAATTTTGCATTCCTAACGCTGTAGTGTTCCTGTAAGATAGGTTATTCTGGCTGCTTGTCACATGTATATAACAGAAGTAATATGGGTCCACAGGAAAAAGCCATTAAGCAAAGTACAATTGTATGTCAGTGAACGTTGGATCAGAAGAGCAGGGTAAACAAGTTGTGACTGGTAAGTAATAGATTTACTTGATTACACATTGCTTTTACAGATTTACTTGATTGCACATAGGCAAGCAGATCAGAGAAAACAAGCTGTAACTGGTAAGTAACAGATTTACTTGAGTACACATTGATTTTGTCCGATAATTAGCTTAAAGGGTTACTCCAACCATCATGACCACTTCAGTGATTTGAAGTGGTCATGGTGGGGGAGGGAGTATGCGCAGTGTTTCTGCTTCAAACATTCAAACAACTCTTTTTTTGGGCTACCTACTGCCAATTCTGTGCATTTCCAAGGTGTGCAGTAGAGCATGTATGTCAGTGAGTGTTTCTGTAGTTAGCATGTGTGAGTGTCAGTGAGTTTGTAGTGACCATGTGTGTGTCAGTGAGCTTGTCTGTAGTAAGCATATGTGTGTTTGTGACAGTAAGCTTATCTGTAATAAGTTTGTGTTTGCATACCGTTGAGTTTGTCTGTAGTAATCTTGTGTGATTGTCAGAGTTTGTATTAGGTTTCTCTGTGTGTACTAGCAAGCTTGTCTGTGTGTGTCAGTGAAAATGTCTGTCAGTGAGCCTATTAGTGTGTATCAGTGAGCTTTTGTTTTTATGTCAATGAGCTTATATGTATCAATAAGATTGTCTGTCTGTGAACCTGTGTATTAAAGATCTTGTCTGCTTGTGTCAGTGAGATTGTCTATCTGCATGTGAGTATGCTAACTGTATAATTACATTTTTTACACTGACAGAACCAATAGTTTATATATTTATACACACACACACACACACATGCTACATGGCACAATAACTTATGAGGCTGGCATACATTTTATCCAGGGCTGATTTGTAGCCCCAGTCCGGCTCTACAAAAAGGGGCATGGTAGTCATTACAATTATATGCACCCCCCCGAAAGATTTCTGTGGACAACCTGTCACGTATTCATCCACACATAAAAATGTGGTTAATGGCATTTACTGTCCTGACAGGAAAAATTGTACCAAGCAACATTACTGTCCTGGCAGGAAAAGTTGTGCCGAGCAACATTACTGTCCTGACAGGAAAAGTTGTGCCGAGCAGCAATCAAATCCACAGGAGGGTTTGTGCTGAGCAGCAATCATGCAAATGGAAACCTGGTAATTGCCTTTGAGGTCAAAGGCCGGTTACAGCCAATCGGATCCATAGGACAGTGCCCTGTCGTTGTTTCATTACTATGGTTATCAGAGAATGCGTTCCTGATCTTGATTTTCTCGTATTTGACTTTGGCTTTGTTTTGACTTCCCTGATATCTGGCATCCTTGACGTTTGGCTTTCCCTCATCTTTGTGTCTGATTCTGTGTCCTTGACCTCGGCAAGTATTTTGACTATTCTTGGAGACTTTAAGTCCGGCAATTCTAAGGTCTGGTTATACGTTATCCTTAGTCCTAGGTGTGACACAGTACTGTGTGCTGGATCAACTTGTAATCCTGACATAACCATGGCTGTGGCTGAAATCTTTCTTGGTCTACCTTACCTTGTGTAACAGAACTATGCTGTATGCCTGGGCCAGTGAACTAACCAAAATCAGCAGGAATTCGTCACATTTAGTGCATTTCAACCATTCGAATGGATTCGCATGAATTCCCTGTGTAAAGTATAGGTGGCCGCCATTTCGGGACTTTACACGTGGCCGCGGCCATCTTACGTGCGAACAGCGGTGTTTGCCTGTCGACGCGTGGAACTAAAATCGGATACGCAAACAGGCGAACACCGCTGAGTCCTCCATACTTCCAGAAGTTCGCACGGAAACTACCGAATCACCGGACGTTCGGTAGTTATGTTCAATCATCTATGGGGATTGCGGCGAACCCCGAGATTCGAATGGATGGCAAGAATTTCAGACCTTTTTACCAGGCGAACGGAGACCGACCGCAAGGCCAAAACTCATGGAACTATTTTCGGCTAGTTGGTCTGTGCGGTCGGTCAAAACTTTGGAACTCTGTATCTCCCGAACTATTCATCCGAATGGGCTGATTTTTGGACATGTTGGTCCCCTGAATGAGAGCTATCAAGCGACCCCGGATTTAAAGCTGTACCCCCTGTTTTTGGGGAACATCCAGAACTGGGGTAAAATGTTGTACGTTTTAATTATGTTATATGTTATCTGAGGGGAGGAGACGTGGGGGTGTTACCAGGTATATGATTGGGTGTTTTTATCCTCCCCCTGGGAGTATCCTGTGTGTACCTGATCCCAATAAAAGGAGGCTGGGTGTTCCAGTCCTCAGATCTTCTTGACCCTTCAAAACGTAGCCTTGTCTCGTTCTTGGAAGGGGATTATTTGGGAATATTATCCTGCTCCTGTTACAGCTGAACCTGACTCTTACTCTGATATATCGTGGATAGGATTATACCAGCTTACTTCTCCACAGCAGCTTACAGGGAAAAAGGACGTCTCCAACGGCAGATACCCTCCTTCTACCCGGGTAGCCGTTACATTGGTGGCAGCGGTGGGATGGTCCTTTTATCCAGAGAACAAGTGCTGAATGGAGGCTCAGTACGCCAAGCTGAAAAGACCCACATTAAAGGATTTATTGGAGAGTCGTGGTAGGAGTGCCAGCAACAGACCACGGAGGGAGCTGATAGCTGACCTACTAGAACTGGACGAAATGGATAGGTCCATGGAGGTAACAGAACCTCTTGCACCTGTCAGCGAGGACGATGAAATTTCTGCCATTGTACAGCGGAGATTAGCTTGGTATCCAGAAAGATCCACGGAGCTAATAAACCAGCTGCTCCGGGAAACAAGGGAGGAGATACAAACTAAGAGGGGACAAGAAGCGGAACTGGTAAGAGCTAGACAGCCCATTACACAGGCAGTTCCTACCCCCCCACCCGCTGCTACAGGGAGGAAAATACCGTTCACTGCATTTAAAGCGTTTGTAGAGAATGAAGAAGAAATTGACGGATATTTAGCGGACTTTGAGAGACAATGCTCGCTACACCAAGTACCACCAGACCAATGGGTTACTATTCTGGCTGGAAAGCTCTCAGGAAAAGCAAATGAGGCTTTTCGGGCACTTACTACGGAAGATATAACGCAGTATCAACGGGTGAAAGCTGCACTACTCACCCGATATGCGGTCACCCCAGAAGCATATCGCCGTCGCTTCCGGGAGTCCAAAAAGAAGGCAGTGGACTCCCACATGGAATGGGCAAACAAGATACAACGGGTGGCAACACACTGGGTGCGAGGGTGCAATGCTAACACCGGAGAAGAAATATTACAGTTGTTCCTGATGGAACACTTCTTTCAAGATCTGGCTGCAGATATACAGGACTGGGTCAGAGATCGGCGCCCTGCCAATTTAACTGAGGCAGCGCGACTAGCAGATGAGTATGCAGAGACAAGGAAGGTGAGCCAAAGTAACACACGACCAGCCCCTAGAGCAGAGGCCCGCACTACAACCTACCCTGCACGCACAGAATTTCGGGCCCCAGTACCCCCAGGGCCTCCACGTCCCCAGGGGCATAACAACCATCCCCGGGAATCTTACAAAGTAACGTGCCATCGCTGCGGCAACACAGGACATATTGCCCGGTATTGCCCGTTGGGATCAGCCAATAATAACTGGAGGCGCCCACCTAACACCGAGAGCACACCGCCACGTCCAGCGGCTGCTCACTGCCTAGAAATTGAAGGAAGCCCTGAAGAGTGCCTGGGAATATTATATGAGGCCAACCCCATACAAGCAGCTTCCCCAGATAATCGTCAGCATCACCGTCAGGAGGTGCGTGTGAACGGACAGATAGCACAAGGCCTAAGAGACACTGGCGCTACCATTACCCTAATACAGAAACACCTTGTAAAACCAGAACATGTGTCAAATCGTACCGTGGCTGTTCGTGTCGCAGGGGGAGCTGTTTTTCGCTTACCCACCGCCAGGATACACTTAGATTGGGGAGCCGGGTCAGGAAAGACCACGGTGGGCATCATGGACAATTTACCCGCCGAGGTCGTATTGGGCAACGATATTGGCCCTCTAGCTTCAGCATTTTTACCCACTACTGCTGGTGCTTGCCCCGTGACCACCCGCTCACAGACCCGTATCGAGGACGATCCTACAACAGGTCGGGAGACCCAGGTAAGCCACAAGCAGACACCCCACACTAACATTACAGAGAGACCCATAGCTTGGGACACCCCAGAAGAATTTGGGAGGGAAACTAGGCAGGACCCCACCCTCCAAAAGTACAGGGAACTAGCTGACAGTAGGGGGGACGAGCGAGAACGTTTTGTATGGGAGGGGGACAGGCTATACAGATTGACCGAAGGCAGGAAGAGAGGCTGTGCCCCCTCGCAGAAGCGCCAATTAGTGGTACCCAGAAAGTACCGGTGGGAGCTTCTCCGAATTGGCCACGACATTCCGTTGGCAGGGCATCTAGGGGGTAACCGCACAACCTTCCGGATCACCCAGACCTTCTTTTGGCCAGGGATCTCGAAAGATGTGCGCCGTTACTGCAGCACTTGTGATGTATGCCAGAGGGTGGGAAAGAGAGGGGATCACCCCAAAGCCCGACTGTTACCCATGCCAGTGATCGAGGAACCATTTAGCAGGGTGGCAGTCGACCTAGTGGGACCCCTACCTAACCCCAGTCCCTCTGGTAAGAAATATATTCTTACTGTAGTAGACTATGCTACCCGCTACCCAGAAGCCGTCGCTCTGACGAATATCCAAGCTGACACTGTCGCCAGTGCTCTAGTTGGGATCTTCACCAGAGTAGGATTTCCCCGGGAAATCCTGTCGGATCGAGGGACCCAGTTCACCGCAGACCTAACTCAGCAGTTATGGAAGGCCTGCGGTGTCCAATCCCTCCTTAGTTCCCCGTACCACCCTCAAACTAACGGTCTCTGTGAACGCTTTAATGGTACCCTAAAGCAACTACTGCGTACCTTTACAGCGGAATACAGGGACTGGGAGCGATTCTTGCCACACCTCTTGTTTGCATATCGAGAGGTGCCGCAAGAATCCACAGGGTTCTCCCCATTCGAATTGCTCTACGGACGGCGGGTACGAGGCCCCCTCGACCTGATCCGAGAGCACTGGGAGGGAGAGACAGAACATGAGGGGGTCCCCATCGTACCATATGTACTGGAGATGCGGGACCGCATGGGGCACCTAGCCAGGATGGCCCGAGAGCATCTCCAGGCGGCCCAAGGCCGACAGAAACATTGGTACGATCGGGGCGCGAGATTGAGAACCTTCCAGGTGGGACAGAAAGTCCTAGTACTTAGACCCGTTAAAGGGAACAAATTACAAACCTCCTGGCAAGGCCCTTACAAGGTGGTCGCACAGATCTGTGACACCACCTATGTAATTGCCAGTAGCAAGGACGAGAGGATACAGAAGTCCTTCCATATAAACTTACTGAAAGAGTACCAGGAAAGGCCCGAAGACATAGCAGCCATATGTATCCCGGCCACTGAGGACCCGGACAGTCTCCCCATCCCGGATCTACTAGCTAACCCCGAGTCTAAAACCTTGCTGAACACTGTACAGCTAGGGGAGCGACTAACGCCCACCGAAAGAGAGCAACTCCAGCAGATGCTAGCTGCAAAAAGATTGACGTTTTCCCAGGAACCCGGTTACACACCCTTAGCGACACATTACGTAGAGACCCCAGGACAAAACCCTCTCCGACAGACTCCCTATAGAATTCCCGAAGCCGTGAAAGAGGAGATGAGAAAGGAGATTCAGGAAATGTTAAAGCTAGGAGTTATAGAACCCTCCGACAGCCCCTGGGCATCCCCAGTCGTCCTAGTCCCCAAAAAGGACGGAACGACCCGATTTTGTGTCGACTACCGACGCCTTAACGACAGAACTGTGACAGACGCATACCCCATGCCCCGAGTAGACGAACTATTAGATCGTATTGCTAGGGGACGCTATCTGACCACCATCGATTTGTGCAAAGGGTACTGGCAGATCCCCCTGGCCAAGGACGCTATCCCTAAGTCGGCGTTTGTCACCCCGTTTGGCTTGTACCAGTTCAAGGTCATGCCTTTCGGGATGAAAAATGCCCCAGCTACCTTTCAGCGCTTAGTGGACCGCCTCCTTGATGGCTTCCAGGAATTCGCTTGCGCGTACCTGGATGACATTGCGATCTATAGTGAGACATGGGAAGAACACCTACGACACGTAGAGGCTGTGCTGGATCAGATTAGGGCCGCCGGCCTAACCCTGAAACCAGAAAAATGTAACTTTGGTATGGCTGAAGTTCAGTACTTGGGACACAGAGTGGGGTGTGGGAAACAACGACCAGAACCCGCCAAGGTAGAGGCCGTAGCGAATTGGCCCACCCCTCACACTAAGACCCAGGTATTAGCCTTCTTGGGAACGGCAGGGTACTACAGAAAATTTGTCCCTGACTACAGCGCCATCGCCAAACCTCTGACCGATTTAACGAAGAAAAATTTACCTAGGGTAGTCCTGTGGTCTCCCGCCTGTGAAGCAGCATTCCGAACCCTGAAACAAGCTCTGATCAACGCACCTGTTTTGTCTGCCCCCGTCCCTAATAAAAGATTTGTCGTCCACACAGATGCGTCCATGTACGGACTGGGGGCAGTGCTAAGCCAGGTCGGAGAAGATGGGGGAGAACACCCTGTCGCATACCTGAGTAGAAAGCTATTGCCCAGGGAAGTGAGTTATGCGGCAGTGGAAAAGGAATGTCTAGCCCTGGTCTGGGCCCTAAAGAAGCTCACCCCCTACCTTTATGGTCAGGAATTTACCCTGATCACAGACCATAACCCTCTAGTATGGCTGAACCGAGTGGCTGGGGACAATGGACGACTACTGAGGTGGAGCCTAGCCCTACAACCGTATAATTTCTCCATCCAGTATCGCCCAGGCCGGTTCAATGGGAATGCAGACGGACTGTCCAGGCAAACAGAACTTTTACCTTAGAGGCAGACCGGACAGCCCCAAGTTGACCCGAAAAAGGTCAATCCGGGTCTGCCGGAGTGTTCCACAAAAGGGGAGCAGTGTAACAGAACTATGCTGTATGCCTGGGCCAGTGAACTAACCAAAATCAGCAGGAATTCGTCACATTTAGTGCATTTCAACCATTCGAATGGATTCGCATGAATTCCCTGTGTAAAGTATAGGTGGCCGCCATTTCGGGACTTTACACGTGGCCGCGGCCATCTTACGTGCGAACAGCGGTGTTTGCCTGTCGACGCGTGGAACTAAAATCGGATACGCAAACAGGCGAACACCGCTGAGTCCTCCATACTTCCAGAAGTTCGCACGGAAACTACCGAATCACCGGACGTTCGGTAGTTATGTTCAATCATCTATGGGGATTGCGGCGAACCCCGAGATTCGAATGGATGGCAAGAATTTCAGACCTTTTTACCAGGCGAACGGAGACCGACCGCAAGGCCAAAACTCATGGAACTATTTTCGGCTAGTTGGTCTGTGCGGTCGGTCAAAACTTTGGAACTCTGTATCTCCCGAACTATTCATCCGAATGGGCTGATTTTTGGACATGTTGGTCCCCTGAATGAGAGCTATCAAGCGACCCCGGATTTAAAGCTGTACCCCCTGTTTTTGGGGAACATCCAGAACTGGGGTAAAATGTTGTACGTTTTAATTATGTTATATGTTATCTGAGGGGAGGAGACGTGGGGGTGTTACCAGGTATATGATTGGGTGTTTTTATCCTCCCCCTGGGAGTATCCTGTGTGTACCTGATCCCAATAAAAGGAGGCTGGGTGTTCCAGTCCTCAGATCTTCTTGACCCTTCAAAACGTAGCCTTGTCTCGTTCTTGGAAGGGGATTATTTGGGAATATTATCCTGCTCCTGTTACAGCTGAACCTGACTCTTACTCTGATATATCGTGGATAGGATTATACCAGCTTACTTCTCCACAGCAGCTTACAGGGAAAAAGGACGTCTCCAACGGCAGATACCCTCCTTCTACCCGGGTAGCCGTTACACCTTGGCTTGGTATCAAGAGATCCACAAATTTTCCACTTACTAATAAGTGATTGGACAGTACTGACTTGCATTTTAAAGGCTTTGGATATCTTTTTATATCCCTTTCCATCTTTATAAAATTCCAATATCTTGTTATGCAGGTCTTTTGACTTTTTTTCTGCTCCTCATGGCTCAGTATCTAGCCTGCTCAATGCATCTATTTGAGAACTAACAAACCCATTGACTATTTATACACAGACAATTGCAATTTAAAAAGCCACAGGTGTGGGAAATTAACCTCTAATTGCCATTTAACCTGTGTGTCACCTTGTGTGTCTGTAACAAAGCCAAACAGTCAAGGGCATGTAAACTTTTGATCAGGGCTATTTGGGAGATCTCTGTTATCATTGTGATTTAAAAAGAAGCCAAACAACTATGTGATACATATGATCACTATGTTTTAATAACTTTTTTTGCATGATCAGTCATATTTTTTAAATCAATGCCAAAATTTCCCAAGTTCTGACAGGGTAGGCAAACATTTGAGCACAACTGTATTGTGATCATGATGTGGTGTGTCTCACATGACAGTGTTACAGTATAGGTATAGGCCAGTAGGCTGATTGATTTGCCACCACTGTTAAATCTCAGATTGCATTGTATGTTTACTATGTACTAGGGCATCATCAGCCGGGTAGTGTGTTGCACTGAGTGGAGGTTGGTCCATAGGAAAAGGTAGGGCAGCATTCCCCCCAGTTTTAAGCTAAAAAAAAATATCTATTTATGTGGTAAGAACCAATCATATGTTTATTTTGTGTTTATGATTATATCTGCAGTTTTAACTTCCCTTAAACAATTGTTGTAGTTGCTGCTGGAGCTGAGCAACTAAGCATGTTAAAATTTTGGGATTTTTTTAATAAGACACCAATGTCTTAGGTATAAAAAAATAAATATTTGACCCAAGAACTGGATAAAATACAGGTGGATTGGCACTAAGTAACAAATAAAATAGCAACTACCCTCCAGTGTCTAAAAATCACTCAAAAGACACCACAAAAATAGATAAAAACAAACAAAGTTAGGGGGGTGCAAAACACAATGATTAATATTTAGTAGTGTGAGACCTCCTGATCATTCTGTAAAAAAAGGTATAAAAGACAAATATAGCATAATACTGTATAAAACCACAATTAATCAATAGTAGAGGTAATGGGTCACTCACACTTTCCAGGGCCTTAGGAAGCAGGCTCTGGCTATATCAGCAATTGAATAATATAGCTTATTCAGGCTATCACCACGACTCCTCAATATACTTCTTCTGAAGTAGGTATGAATTAGAAGATATCTAATGAGGTAAAGATAAAGAAGTTTTACTTCAAATTAAAACAAATATATAAAACAACAGCTACAAAGGCTGTGAATAAACAAAGTAAACAGTCCAAAGTTTCAACCTTTCGGCCTTTTTAAAAGTGTATGGTGATCTTCACTTAGTGCTGGCTTTTAATCCGTGCTTCCGGGAATTCATTTTCAGTGGTCAATTCCGCATTATTACGTCATTACAGATTGCGCTGTAACGATCGTGAACATAGTAATGTCAAAGCGTCACAGCATCTAGGTGTACTACATGATGACGATATTGTAAGTTACCACGTTCCAGGACGCAGAAATGCAGGGAGTCCATAAGACGGCATTATAGTATCGGGCGTAATTAGTCCATGCAATGGAAGTTCATCAGAGATATAAATAAGACGATAAAGAACTTGAATCAATATGCATTGAATGCATTTCTGCATCCTGGAACGTGGTAACAGACGATATCATCATCACGTAGTATGCCAGGACGCTGTGATGCTTTGACATTACTACATCCGTGATCATCACAGCGCAAGCCATAATGACGTAATAATGCGGAAGTGACCACTGAGCTCTGGAGGGTGCAAAAATTAATTTCCCGGAAGCACGGATTAAAAGCCAGCACTAGGAGAAGATCACCATACACTTTGAAAAAGAACGAAAGGTTGAAATGCGTTAGTGTTATTGGACTGTTTGCTTTGTTTATTCACAGCCTTTGTAGCTGTTGTTTTATATATTTGTTATAATTTGAAGTAAAATGTCTTTATCTTTACCTCATTGCATATCTTCTAATTCATACCTACTTGGGAAGAAGTATATTGAGAAGTCGTGGTAATAGCCTTAATAAGCTATATTATTCAATTGCTGATATAGCCAGAGCCTGCTTCCCAAGGCTCTGGAAAGTGTGAGTGACCCATTACGTCTACTATTGATCAATTGTGGTTTTATACAGTATTATGCTATATTTGTCTTTTATACTGTTTTGTACACAACGATCAGGAGGTCTCACACTACTAAGTATTAATCACTGGATGGCAAAATCCTTTTAAGAATAGTTTTTTTGGTACTATCCCTTTAAAAGAAAATTTTGCGAGTATAATTTAGACAGTACAATTTTTTTTTCCATAATGGTAAATCTGATAAAGAATCATAGAATATCACCATTAGAATATGTTTATACAATATGTATTGATTTATTGATGATTTGCACTTTATATGTTAAAGCATTTCCAAACTGCATATGTGCTGTATTCTCTTATTGCACTGTGTATGTAATATATTTTGACATTGTGTGTTATGTATGATATGTATTGAAGGCTTAAATCAATTGGACTAAAATGTGACTTGCTTGTATAGCATATCAATAAAATTGGAGTGTCTTCATTACCTACTGCAGTGTATCTTCTTCTTTGTGTATTTGTCTTACGATACTGGTTTGTGGGACCAGGGCCACTATTCTTGCATGCCAATATACAGGAGCATTGATAGGGGGTGCTTGTCCTTTATAGCCCTGGATCTTTTTGTCTCTACTTGACCATTTTCAATCTCTTCAGTGAGTATAGGAGTCGGCTGGGATCAGTGCAGTGCTAGAGACACACATGGAATTTCATAGAGCAGGTGTAGACAATATTCGGCACCTTGATTGATTGACATCCCCCCTCCTGTAGCATGTAAAATCTGCATACTACATGGTAGTTCTTCATTGATTTTTTTTTACAGTGCAACATATGAAGCCTGCATACTTTTCGTACACCTCTCTACAACAAGGACAACCAAAATAGCAAAAAAAGAAGTCCTCTCCCCAGCTGATAACTATAGAAGTGGTCAGATCCATGCGGTGTAGCATGATAGGTATAGGTATCCTGGATTTAGTCAACAATAACTAAAACAAATCAAATGACTAAAATACGACTAAAACAAAAATGTATTTTTAGTCAAAAGACTATGACTAAAATTTAATTTTGCCACCAAAATTAATACTGGTCGCCAGCCCTGCTTAAACAATAACTGGTTGACTGCCTTTTCTTCAATCAACCTCTAAAGAACAGAGCAATCTTTTTCATTATGTCTATGTGGGTCTGTGTGTTTTTATTTGTGTGCACCTATCTGTGTCTGTCTACTCCTATGTATGCCTGTGCTTTTGTTTGTACCTATCAGTTACTGTTTGTGCCTGTGTGTCTGTTTATTTGTGTCAGTGTCTGTGTGTGCTCAGGCACATCTGTGTATGTCTGCCCACCCATTTGTGTCAGTGTGCTTTTGTGTATCTGTGTGTTTCTCTAAGTAACTGTGAATGTGTGCCAAGAGGCATGTCCAGTGGTGGAATTAGGGAGTGGAAGTTTGCGATTTGGGGAGTAGGCACAGCTTTAGGAAGAATCACCAAAATATTTTTGGACTCAAGTCCTGGGTTCTTTTGACCCTAGCAACGCTCCTGCCAAGAATAGGGAGGAGATTATACTGTGTGTATGCTAGATAAGTTCTCATTAGTTTATTCATGGGTCCCAGGGCCTAGTTTACCTGTAGGCAGAGAAGGGGTGTCAGATCCACCACGTTCTCCTAGACACATACTGGGTAGCACATTGCAAATTTGTAGCATCCATATGCTACAGGATTTATCTTTAAATAATACATTTCTTTCCTACCTGCAGCAGCTAAATACTACAAACTGCATGACAGCACTTTTAATATGCTGCCCATAAATATATTTAGGTAATATATCTCTCTGTCATTCACAGGACCCAGACTTCTACAGGATGTCCCTGTCCAAGTGCAATTGTATGTTATTATTATTTTTTTTCTTACACCATTATTTTCTGCAATGCTACAATGTACCGTATTTTTCGCTCCATAAGACGCACTTTTTTCCCCCTCAAAAGTGAGGGGAAATATCTGTGCGTCTTATGGCGCAAATGTGAAGCTTTACTTACCTGTATTGTAGCGTGGGCCGGCAGCACAGCGCGCTCCGCGGTACAGGAACTTCAATTTCAGGTTCCGGTACCTGAAATTGAAGTTCCTGTACCGCGGTGCGCGCTGTGAAGCCGGCCCACGCTACAATACAGGTAAGTAATTATGGGACACTATGGGACAAGGAGAGGGGGGCACACTATGGGACAAGGAGAGAGGGGCACACTATGGGACAAGGGGAGGGGGGACACTATGGGACAAGGGGAGGGGGGACACAATGGGACTGGGAGAGGGGGGGACACTATGGAACAAGGGGATGGGGGACACTATATGACAAGGGGAGGGGAGACACTATGGGAGGGAAAGTGCACTATGGGACAAGGGTGGGAACACTATGGGATGAGAACACTATTGGACAAGGGGAGGAGGGGTTAAAGAACACTATGGGACAGGGGAGGAGGGGTTAACAATCACTATGGGACAGAGGAAAGGGGGGTTAAAATAACTATGGGACAGGGGAGGGGGTTAAAGATCATTATGGGACAGGAGGAGAAAAAAAAATATTCTGAACAAACTGTCCCATAGTAAGAAACACTATGGAACAGTTCAGAATTTTTCTGGGTTTCCTCCTCTAAAAACTAGGTGCGTCTTATGGTGAGGTGCGTCTTATGGAGCGAAAAATATGGTAGTTGGGATGTATTACGGTAATTAGAATTAAAAATAATGTGGAGAGATGAAGAATGTGCTATTTAAACCTGCTTACAATCTCTGACATACACCTTGAAATCATGTTTGGGTGACCTATATATTTTAACACTATACATTTTAATGTTAAAACAAGTGCACATCTACTTATGTCTGTGAACAGAACTTCTACTGCACTCTTATCAGTATGCTAAAGCAAAAGCCCAAACATCTTGGGTAGCATATTAAATTTGGGGAATGTGGCACATGGATCAGGTTTATGTGCATACAAATTGGTAGGAAGAACTAGGAAGAGGCTGTTGTCTTTTACGTATATCCCATGTCAAGAGATCCATTCCAGGTTTTGCATTCTGTTCCTTTAGCTTACACTAGCGGCGAGGACTGATATGTTTAACAGTGTATCCTTCCACCAGCAGTGTACAGCATATAAAGCTTTAACACCAACTGCAAACAGAGACAGTGTTGCAACAAATAAAAATGGAAACTAATTTACTATAAACATTCTAAGAGATAAGTTGCAGAGCTAATACATATTAACAGGGTGTATTATAAACGTGAAAACAGGGAACTATATTCATGTGAATGTGACCTTCTCTGTTATGCTCTGCATTCTTGTGCTTTTAGCATATCCTCTCTGCTCTGCCTATGGCGTTCCATCCACCCCCCCACCTCCGTCTTGTTTTCTCTTCCTACACTGATAAAAAGGGCTACATGAATAGAATGAGGAAGAATGAGAATCATGCTAATCAGTATACACTAACATCTTGTTTAAGGTTTATATGAACTCTCCAGTACCCTAAACGCTAACATTAAATGTATGAAGAAACTTTTCTTTCCCCTCCTCCTCTCTCTCTATGATTTAGCTGTAATATGCAGCAGAGAAAGGGTTAACAAGAACAGTGACGTCATTGGCAAGATTAAAAAAAAAATAAAAAAAAATCCCCTTGCTATTGTCCTTTGCCTGATGTTGGTAAAATGAAGCAATAGAATATATTAATTGGCTATCACTCTGAAACACGTCGAATAAACATGGAAATTAAACAACGTATTGAAAATAAAAGCAGCATGATGAATATAATTGAGAATAACAGAAAGATAATGGAGGATAGTGCTGTGGGAGGATATGTCCTTTGATTTCTGAGATTCTGCAAGGAAAGGAAAGAAAAAAAAAAAAACAACAGAAAAAAAGAGCGCTTTAATGAATGCATCAGAGCCTTTTGATCTTGTGAATCAGTAAGGTTCAGTTGTGCCTGCCCTGGAGGTTAGTTGCAAATCCTGGCTGATCTGAAATTCGATCAGTAGAGGGGGCAGAGGAAGCATTTGAATTGGAGAGAAGGAAAACAAATCTATGTGGAAAATCAGGCTTCTGCAAAGTGGGGCTTTAAAACACACACACACTATGTCTGTGATTTAGGTCCTCTATCATCATGTGTGTGTGCACTGTCCATTATTATGACACACCCTACACAGGAAGGCGAAATAGGAACTAGCAAGGCTTGGCAAGCTATTTTTTGTTTTTGTTTCGAGAAGAGTGAGATGTAATCAACAGCCTAACAGCTTGCTTTGTGCTTGGAGCTATAGAACATACACTTATTTATCATTGCCGATCTGCAGAGTGCCAGCAAGTTTGTTGTAGTTTTCAAGCTGCAATTTCCTGAATAGTTAACCCATGCCTGCTGGAAGGGCTAGAACACATGCTAGGCAATTACAGTGGGCATAAATGGAATACTTGCTGCATAAACTAATAGCATTTTGTAGGAAAAATATGTAGTTCTATTTTTGTGTGTTTATTATTTAACACAACACGTTTCAGTATTCTATAGGTGAACTGGATATATAAGTATTTAAAGGAACATTTTAACAACATTAGGAATATATTTGTTTTCAGTTGTAAACATTTTATTGAGTCTGTATTAAATGAGTATGCAATAATAAACAATGCAATTCTATGTAGTGTTTGTTACTGTGAAAGTACAGTAACTTCAATTGTTTTCAACCCCCCCCCCCCAGAAAAAAAAACAATATTTGTTTTATTGTAGGTGGTTTGTGACAAAGACTCTTATAAGGTATCAGCATGCTTTAATGGTGTTCCTCATCTCCAGTATATAATATAGGGCTTTCCATGCCTGGATTATATATATATATATTTTTTAACATGGATTCTAAACAGCCCATTCTGGCATGTATTAATTTAGCTTTTAGTAAAATCAGAGAAGGTGTTTTCCATAGTATGTGATTGTACAGAACAGACTTCTGAGTTGCCACTGAGACTATATGAATACATTTTGTGTGTATTTTGGTGGAAGTCAGTGGGATGAGTAAGACTGCTTCTGTGGAAATTGCAGGGAATTGTAGTTACATTCCTCCATAACTTGCTTACCTGGGATCCAAACCTAAAGTAGTAGCAGGGGCGTACCTAGAAAATTTGTCACCCGGGGTGGGTCCTATTTTTGGCACCCCCCTTTCTCCCCCCCTCAACTTTAAATATAAAAACAACTAAAAAATGTTTTAATGTATTTAGCACTAAGCAGTGTTTGTGTTTTTGAATGTATGCATGTTTTTGTATGGAGTATATGTGAGTGAATGTAGCGGTGTGTTTGTAGTGTTGGCGTTTGAATGCAAGCATGCATTTGTGTGTTGTGTGGTATTTGAATGCAGTGGTATGGTTATATATAATGGTGGGGTTTGTATGTAGTGTTGACGTTGAAATGCAAGAGTGTATTTGTGTGTAGTGTTGGCGAGATTTTTAGATGTCTGCACATATACACATACACGGACATACACACACAAACACACACAGATACACATTGACACACATGCAGACATCGTGGCGACTCTAGGAACAATATATATGGGGGGGAACATAAGATACCACAGTCAAAACAGGAGGGGGAGGTGGAGCAGTAAAACTTCTCACTAGGGCAGGGCCGGACTGGCCCACCGGGATAACGGGAAATTTCCCGGTGGGCCGCGGCAACTGGGGGGCTGCAAGGCCACATATGTGCCACCGGGTGGCCGGTCCTTGCGGTTCCCACAATTCCCGGCACAGGAACCGCGAGGGAGCATGGTAGACAGGCTCCTCCTCCATCAGCAGCCAGTGACTGGAGTGCCGCCGGACCGGCGAAGCTGCCACCCGGCCCGGCGGCTCCAGTTTGGAACGCGGCCGGCCCCCTTGCCTTCTTTAAGGTAAATTGGGGGCAGGGGGAGAGGGAGAGGGGAGAGACACACGGAAAGGGCGGGGGGAGAGGGGAGAGACACAGGGAAAGGGGGGAGGGAGGGAGAGGGAAGAGACACAGGGAAAGGGGGGGGAGGGAGAGGGGAGGGAGAGGGAGAGACACAGGGGAAAGGGGGAGATACACAGGGGAAAGGGGGGAGGGAGGGAGAGGGAGAGACACAGGAAAGGGGGAGAGGAGAGCCACAGGGAGAGGGAGGAGCACAGGGAAAGGGGAGGGAGGGAGAGACACCAGGAAAGGGAGGGAGAGATGGTAAGGGGAATAGGGAGAGGGGAGAGACACAGGGAAAGGGGGGAGGGAGAGACACAGGGAAAGGGGGGGAGGGTGTGTGTGTGTGCTGGATGATGGGTGTGATGAGGGATGATGTGTGTGTGTGTGTGTGTTAGGTGGGGAAGCAATTTTTTTTCCAATTTATGTGTGTATATTTTTTATTTTATTCCCCCCTCCCTGCTTCTTACCTTGTCAGGGAGGGGGGAGATCTCATTCCCTGGTGGTCCGGTGGAGGGAGCCAGCCACTGCACACGGGGACCCAGAACACTTTCTGTTCCCTCTCCAGCTCTGTCTAACTCTTGCAGGACTCGCCTGCGTGCTGTGGTTACCATGGCAACGCTCTGGTGGCCGTGGGACTTGCGAATGTGAGAAACAGAGAGGGAACACAGAGTGTGCTGGGCCCCCGTGTACAGGTAGCAGGGCAGGTCCTGCACTACTAGCGAGAACGGTGTTCCTGCTTTGGAAAAAGTGCAGGAATGCCATTCCCATGCGTTCCTGCAGGACTCAAGCACTGAGTTTGCACCCTTGTTTCCTTACTTCAACCCGCACTCCTGGCTTTACCACAGATGGTTTAAAGTTTGATTTAGTTAGATGTGTTGAATTGCTCAACACGTTTGAAATGAATTCAAGTTGAATGTTACTAATAATTTATTCAATGTTTTTTAAAAGCAGGTTATGGGGCAAGGATGTCCACTTTCATGGCCACTATACTCAAATTTCAGCTGATATGAACAAATCAAATTCCTTTTGCCCCAAACAAATCAGTCTGTCCAGGATTTACCTACGGAGTCAATGACAGTTTTCATAAAAAAAAAATGCCTCTGGTTATGTCAGATGTGAATTCACCCCTTGGAGTTTGAGAAGTATTTTGGAATGGAAGCACTAGATCACGTTAACAAGGTTAAAACAAACAATAAAAATATTCTTGTTTTGAAACCCCTTAAAAGTTATACAGATATTGGGCATGCAAAAATCCAGCTGCTTAAAGTGCCCCTTTAAATTGGACTGATAATTTACAGATAGCTTGATTAACTTAGTTACAATGCATGTACTTTAACGCCTTCACGTCTCCAATCATGTATACACGATTGTCAGCGTATGCATTCAAACCCCACAATCGTTTATACAATATATTAGCCATTGCAAGCCTATGAGTGGGCTTTTTACGTTGAAGTACTTTTTAATTTTAATTTATCTGTTCTGACTCTGTATCTGCACACTATGCTGGCGCGACGCATTATGGGGCTGGTAAATATTTTTTTTTCCAGGGCTGCTTTTAATTCCAAGTCCGGCCCTGCACTAGGGGATGGGGTAATATGCTACCATTGGCTGTCTGATGCCAGCATGCTGTGTTCTGCATGCTGGCATCTGACTACACATTTGCATATAATTCACATTAGCCACCCAGATTTCTTGTTGTGGGCTGGCTGACACCTCTTAATTTCAATCTTTGTTTAGCAGATAACTCCTCTATTTGCTATCCTTTGTGGGATTGCCATTTTAAAGGACACCAAATAAGGTGCTATCTGCTAGACAGCACCCTCATTTGGTATCTTTAAATATGGAAATCTCACATACGGGCACCAATTCAGGGAATGATCTACTAAACAGCTAAAGGATAAAAAAAGCCCTTTTCTTATTTTCAGTAGATAAATCCCTTATTTGTTATCTATATGTGGGATTGCAATATTTGAGGACAGGAAATAAGGGAGCTATCTACTAAACACATACGCAGAGATACACACAATCACACACATAATCACAGATATACACAAGCACAATCACTGACCCACACACATACAATCACAGACACACAATCACATACACACACAAACATTACATACATACACACATTTAATAATTAAGAGGCCCACCCAGCCTCCCTACCTTGCTCTAGAAGGGCTGGAGTGGATCCTCAGTCCCTGGTGGCCAGTGGTTGCTGCTGGGATCTCTGTGCTCTTTCTGCACAGGTCCATCGCATGCCCTGAAATGACGCCGAGGCCGCGATGACATCGTATCCTGGCTGCCGGCTCACTGCAGGGCGAAGACCGTCAGACACAGTCAGATGCACACAGTCCCACACACAGTCACTCACACACAGTTACAGGCAGACAGTCAAATACGCAGGCAATCACACAGGCAGACAGTCACACACACAATCACAGACAGTCACACATACACACAACACAGTCACAGACAGTCACACACACAATCACAGGCAGACAGTCACACACACACACACAGTCACAGACAGTCACACACACACACACCCACAATCACAGGCAGACAGTCACACACACAGAGTAACACAGACAATCACAGGCAGACAGTCACACACACAGACAGTGACACACACAATCACAGGCAGACAGTCATACGTACACATAACACAATCAAAGACAGTCACACACACACACACACACACAATCAGTCAGAGAGTCACACACACAGAGTCACACAGACAATCACAGGCAGATTATCACACAGACAATCACAGGCAGACAATCACACAGACAATCACAGGCAGTCACACACACACACAAGCAGACAATCACACACACAGTCAAAGACAGTCACAATCACAGTTACACACACACACAGCACACACTCACTCACTTACAGGATCCATGGGCTGGAGGAGGAGTGGATTCAGTCCCTGCTGTGCTGTAGTTGGGGAAGCAGGGATTCCTTCCTGCTTCCCCTCTGTGTGCAGCAGTATGAGGCTGCATTTAGCTCCGCCCCCACATCCGGATTGGCTCCGCCCCCACGGCCAATCTGGCCCCGCCCCCAAATCTCCGTGCAGGTCTCCTGCTGTATTCACTGCCCCTGCGTGTGAGCTGTGTCGGCTGCCCGGTGCCTTTGCTGCTATGGCACCAGGTGCAGCCACACAGCTCACTGAACACCAAGCCTGGCCAGCCCTGGTGGCACCCCCCTACATGATGGCACCCAGGGCGGACCGCCCCCCCAGGCCCCCCCTTAGTACGCCACTGAGTAGTAGTACAAATTTGGCTCCCCTTCTCTGCTTATAGAGGAATTTGGGGATTATTTCAACTTCAATTTATATTGTTGTTTCAGGTAATGATTTTAATGTGAATTTCCTAAAACATTGATGTTGAAATAAATGTACATAGTTTGATTAAAACTTATCATTTGTCTAACTCAGGGATAGGCAACCTTTTAGTAGTACTGTGCAAAATAGCGGTTTTGAAGTCCCTTGGTGTGCCGGTACTATTGTTTTTTTTAAATTGAGGTGAGCATGTTGCCATATTCTGCCTGTGTTATTTGTGTGTGCTGCAGTTTCTTTGTAGCGCTATATTTGTGGGGGCTGATTAAAGAGGCAGTGGAATGATGAAGGGGGCAGGGGTGTGGTGAAGGGGTGGCCAGGGGTTTGATGAATGGGGGGCAGGGATTTGATGAATGGGTGGCCAGGGGTTTGATGAATGGGGGACAGGGATTTGATGAAGGGGTGGCCAGGGGTTTTAGTGAAGGGGTAGACAGGGGTTTGATAAATGGGGGACAGGTGTTTGATGAAGGGGTGGCCAGGGGTTTGATGAAGGGGGGCAGGGGTATGATGAAGGCGGCGGGGATTGATGTAGGGGTGTCCAGGGTGTTTGGTGAAGAGGGGCAGGGGTTTTGTAAATGGGGATGGAGATGGCAGATTGCGAATGTGCCTAAAATTGTCTAGTGGGGGACAAACGGGGTGGGGGGCGCCACCAGGTTGGCTCGCACAGGGCGCCTGAACACCAATGGCTGGCCCTGCAAGGGGTCAGCATCTAAATTACCCATAGGGAGAACCAAGTAGTGCAGAGCGAACTTTCCAGCATATTATAACTGGACTGCCCTTATGGGTGGGATCAGTTTGATATGATATAAATGGTATAGGTTCTCTCTATAATGGCACAAGTGAACAAAAAACTTTTTTTTGAGACTAACGGAAGGGCAAACTAGTTTTTATCTATTCTCAGTGTACTCATATTCCTTGCTTTGATATGTATTACCCAAAGACCTTGGTTATTACAACTATTCAAAGCACAACATTATAATAAAAACTTATTATAAGCTCAAAATTATAATAAAAAAATAATTTTTACTGCAACATGTATTTTTCTTTTAGACAGATTTCAGAATAAAGCTTAGATTCATACTAGATACTTAAGATTTCTAGAACAAGATAATCTGATAATCAACAAAATCCACAAGAAAACTATAATATAGACATACATTTTGATTTTCTAAAATGGGTGATACATATACCAGAGGATTCTAGTGGATTTAATACTTTATCCTGTATAATTCCCTTGGTTCTGGAATTTTTTCTATAATTTGGAATGGTAGTTGCTCAAAGCTATGTCTAGTTTCTTGAAATTGGTAGGAACTGACAGATCATGTGTTCCAGTTCTGATGGTTGACTTATGCTTAGATATTTTATGTACAATTCTATAAGGGAAATTTCATTGATGTATAGTTTACCATGTCTGTATCTTGCACCCAGTTGGACTTTTTCCATTATACAGGGAGTGCAGAATTATTAGGCAAGTTGTATTTTTGAGGATTAATTTTATTATTGAACAACAACCATGTTCTCAATGAACCCAAAAAACTCATTAATATCAAAGCTGAATATTTTTGGAAGTAGTTTTTAGTTTGTTTTTAGTTATAGCTATGTTAGGGGGATATCTGTGTGTGCAGGTGACTATTACTGTGCATAATTATTAGGCAACTTAACAAAAACAAATATATACCCATTTCAATTATTTATTATTACCAGTGAAACCAATATAACATCTCAACATTCACAAATATACATTTCTGACATTCAAAAACAAAACAAAAACAAATCAGTGACCAATATAGCCACCTTTCTTTGCAAGGACACTCAAAAGCCTGCCATCCATGGATTCTGTCAGTGTTTTGATCTGTTCACCATCAACATTGCGTGCAGCAGCAACCACAGCCTCCCAGACACTGTTCAGAGAGGTGTACTGTTTTCCCTCCTTGTAAATCTCACATTTGATGATGGACCACAGGTTCTCAATGGGGTTCAGATCAGGTGAACAAGGAGGCCATGTCATTAGATTTTCTTCTTTTATACCCTTTCTTGCCAGCCACGCTGTGGAGTACTTGGACGCGTGTGATGGAGCATTGTCCTGCATGAAAATCATGTTTTTCTTGAAGGATGCAGACTTCTTCCTGTACCACTGCTTGAAGAAGGTGTCTTCCAGGAACTGGCAGTAGGACTGGGAGTTGAGCTTGACTCCATCCTCAACCCGAAAAGGCCCCACAAGCTCATCTTTGATGATATCAGCCCAAACCAGTACTCCACCTCCACCTTGCTGGCGTCTGAGTCGGACTGGAGCTCTCTGCCCTTTACCAATCCAGCCACGGGCCCATCCATCTGGCCCATCAAGACTCACTCTCATTTCATCAGTCCATAAAACCTTAGAAAAATCAGTCTTGAGATATTTCTTGGCCCAGTCTTGACGTTTCAGCTTGTGTGTCTTGTTCAGTGGTGGTCGTCTTTCAGCCTTTCTTACCTTGGCCATGTCTCTGAGTATTGCACACCTTGTGCTTTTGGGCACTCCAGTGATGTTGCAGCTCTGAAATATGGCCAAACTGGTGGCAAGTGGCATCGTGGCAGCTGCACGCTTGACTTTTCTCAGTTCATGGGCAGTTATTTTGCGCCTTGGTTTTTCCACACGCTTCTTGCGACCCTGTTGACTATTTTGAATGAAACGCTTGATTGTTCGATGATCACGCTTCAGAAGCTTTGCAATTTTAAGAGTGCTGCATCCCTCTGCAAGATATCTCACTATTTTTGACTTTTCTGAGCCTGTCAAGTCCTTCTTTTGACCCATTTTGCCAAAGGAAAGGAAGTTGCCTAATAATTATGCACACCTGATATAGGGTGTTGATGTCATTAGACCACACCCCTTCTCATTACAGAGATGCACATCACCTAATATGCTTAATTGGTAGTAGGCTTTCGAGCCTATACAGCTTGGAGTAAGACAACATGCATAAAGAGGATGATGTGGTCAAAATACTCATTTGCCTAATAATTCTGCACTCCCTGTAGATTGTGTTCATACAGCGCAGGGCATAATTCTGATCCTCCTTTTTCGCTCTCCCTTCAAGTTAGTGGTATCCACATCTGTCCTTGCAAGCGCGCTGTCTTGGCGTTATACTTGATTCTGGCCTCACTTTTGAGCCTCATATCCAGTATGTTACCATATCCTGTAGATTCGATCTTAAAAATATAGCCCACATCCTCCCCTTTCTTACGCAAGATGCTACTAAGGAGCTTGTCCATGCTTTAGTAATTTCTCGCATGGATTATTGTAACTCTCTCTGAGCCGTATTGCCCTGCTACAGTCTGTAATGAATGCTGCTGCCAGACTGATTTTCCTCTCCAGTTGGACCTCTCACACCTCACCCCTCTGTTAGTCCTGTATCCTATAGGAGTCAATTCAAAGTGCTAATCCATAACTATAAAGCATTGAACAAATCTAGCACCTCATATCTCTTCACAGATCCATAGGTATGCCTCTTCTTGGTCTCTCCTCAATGCCCATGACCTTCTCCTGTCTGCTGCTCGCACTTGTACGGCCGACTCACTCTTGCAGGACTTCTCGCGGGTGGCTCCCTTCCCATGGAATAGCCTGTCTACCACCATAAGACTGTCCCCTAGTCTTCAATAATTTAAGAAGTGCCTTAAAACCCATCTCTTTAGGAAAGCTTATGGCCTTCCAGAGTAACCTCTACCTCACATACATGTCCCTTGCTCTCTCCTAAAGGGCAGCACTCTACGCTCTCCTCCAGCTCTTCTTCACTCCCACCTTATTTGATTGCTATCTCCTGTCCTATTGTGTTTTATTCCACACCTCCTATACACTGTAAGCTTGTTTGAGCAGGGTCCTCTTTAACCTATCGTTCCTGTACGTTTTTATAATTGACCTATTTATAGTTAAATTACACCCCTCCCCCCTTTATAATATTGTAAAGCACTACGGAATCTGTTGGCACTATAAAAATGCCAATAATAATAATAAGTGCAGCATTTCACTTTCAAATGATCCACATACAAAGATTAACCCCTTATTTGCCATAGGTGTAACTCTGGCAGTGTCATTAGCCATTCCAAAAAAAAAAAGTTCTGGGTAGGCTAATATCGATTCTGTGCACAATTGCTGTCTGAAACTAGCACGCACAGCATCCTGGGGTTAGACAGCCAATGGAAGCACAGCCCCCTGCCATGCTGTTTCCGTCCTTTCCTCAGCTCATCCCCCTGGCCTCATTCCTCTCCAGTGAGAGGGAGTGACATCAGCTAAAGAGATTTAGCCTTCAGAGAGAACTTAGCCCCTGGTAAGGCTAAACCAGGTAAGCCTTAGCGTTGAGGGAGAGAGATGGAACCTCAGGAAGGGTAACTAGTTTTTTGGTTGGAGTAACCCTTGAACATGCTGCCTCCATTTGTTCGTTTCTGTATTGTATGTTCCATCTGCTAATACAGACTGCATTATTATTGGTGGACTGCTATGGAAAAGCCTGCCACCTGGTGGTGGCCTCATTGTTAACATCAGTCTATTTATTCTGATATTTCTACTTGGGAAATGAAAGTAGGACAAAAGTGCTATTGAGTAATCAGTTTACTTAAGAACTGTACTTAAAATTACACCATTACCTAAATATAACATACATG